AGTACGAAGTGATTTCCATCTTTATTGATTAAGATGCTTCCCAAAAGACCAACCCCTAACGTCCTCACTCGTGGGAAGTGGGCAATAGTTAAGTAGGGGAATGGCTGTCAGGTTGAGGTACATTAGTATTCAGGTCCTGTGACTGCTACAGTAGCTGCGAAGGTGCTGACAGGAGCCCTGAACAAGCTGGCAAATAGGGGCTCTTGCTATTCTGTAGTTGGATGGGGTGTGACTGCAGAAACAGACACAGTTAATAACAATGCAATATGATTGCTTGCCAGAAGGAGGACCACACCTTGGATGTTACGGTTATGCTCTGTAAGCTGAAAGCCTAGCTGAACTTAGATGAGATGAAAAAGAACTAATTCATTATTTAGTGCTTACATCAGACCTGGGGAAAATGACAATGACTGAACTAGTAAATTTCTGGAGCAAGACAGTGAAGGCCTAGGTGACTATGGCATGATAAGGACAGATGATTAATATTTTATTGACATAATTTGCCTTTCTTCTCCTGTTTGTTACGATTGTATTTTCCCAAGATACCTCAAAACAACGTCATCGCTTACACAAAAAGATCAGTGAAGAAAAGTCAGACCTTGCAAGGCTTATTTCAGAGTACAATGGTCTTGCTACCACAGATTGTAAAGTGGAAATTGCAGATGCCCTTGACAACAACTTTCCATGGGCTCTACATGATCAGACTGGTGGTAAATAAATTACAATGCAGTGTATTTTATATTTTAATTTATTCACGTTTATATGACTGTATTGTTAAAACTTGTGAAAAGAAAGAACACGAAATGCATGATTTTGGTTTAAACTGCAAACAACCCCAAAATGATTTTAATGAGTCTCATTTGATTTGAAGATGATGATTAGCATGATTGTGGTGATACAGGGTACAAAGAAGTTGTTGTCCTATAGCCCCAGGCTAGTGGATCTTACCCACAACTTGCCTGAAGGGAAGTGAAAGTTTTTAGGGAGATTTTTTGGGGGGAAATTCAGGCAAGCTGTAAAATTGAACCTCTTTGTACCCTGTAATAACACTTTTACGCTGTGAAAAATCATGACTTGCGTCGCAATCGTGCACGATTTAAGGATGCTATATTTGGATATCAGTTTTAACAGACTAATGTCTTCATTAGATTTTGGATGTCTTTCTTTTTTGTTTTCTATTTTTTTATTTTTATATTTTTATATTTTAGAAATGCCTCTCCGTGCTCCCCGTGCTCTTGAGAGGAGCGACTAGGCTCTTCCAGGGCAGTGCTTTCCTTAGCTGCAAAGGTAAGTCTACGCGTCACAAAGATCATGTTAAATATACCTGTTACTTTAAAACCAATTTATACCTTGGTGTATGAATAGTTATAGCTGGCTGC